CTTTTCATTTTGAAGAAAGAAAATATTCCTTATTTAAATGAGATTGAGTCATGTTTATATGGTGGTATAGTGGAGAGAAGGTACTTTCTTGCCTAATTTAAACTCTACCCTCAGTTTCCTCACCTGCCAAATGGGGATAGTTACATTACATTAGTATTATTACGGTGGTTAAATGAGGAGTAGTGCACGTGATTATGCGTATAAACTATAAGGCATTCCACAATGGCTGTGCATCATCCATATAGAGATTATTTCAGGAAAAAGATACGTCCTCTGTATATTCTTGGAATTGTAATCCCGAGGAGAAAAAAGTTACATTAATACCAGTTCAGATAGATGGGAATAAGCATTTATTGGGCCCCTGCTGAAGGACAGGCAGTCTACAGGTTGTCTCCTGTAATCTTTAGGACTGCCCTGTGCCTTACGCATTACGTGCTAAGGTTCAGGCTAAACATCTCACACAGAGTGTGTTAGAACACACTTGCGCCTCTGCTGGTGTTCTGCTCTGCCCCTTGTTCCCTGTGCGACCACCGGCAAGTTACTTAGCCTTTCTGAGCCTCAGTTTCCACCCCAGTGGAACAGGTCAGTGGTACACAAAGAGCAGGCTGGCTGTCGTTTAGCCAACCATGCGCTTCCCATCCTGCACAGAAATAGGGAGACACGATGTGTTTCCTGCCATCTGTTCTGAGGACAGGAATCAGTTTGGGATTAAGCTGCACCAACTCAAAATGGACTCCCCCAGGACAGAGAGTGGCAGGAAACCCACACTTCAGTACTACAGTGAGAGAAGGGTCCTCAGGTACTTGTGTCCAAGGAGGGAAGCAGAGGTGTGTTCCTAACTCCCACCCGCACCCTGCTTCAGCAGGGAAGCGCGGCATACCCGCCAGGATTTCCGACAGCAGGAGCATGCAGATTGTGCCCCCCAGATTTTTGTAGAATTGAATTACTGTAATGATCTAATGCTACGTTTTGGGAAATTTGATATTGTCACCTACACTCTAAAAAAAACAGGTGCTCATCTTCCTATTTGCAGGTGACATGGTTATATTGTCTTAAACTAGGCAAGCTTTTATAATACATTCTGGCCCAATTTCATAGAAACAAGGGCCACAGGTGGCCTGTATGCAAATCAAAATTCACACCAGGGATTTCTATAGGAAAGAGTAGGCCACTCAGGGTAGGTACAGTGAAGGCCAGTTGGTTGTAGTCAGTAATGGCAATTGCTTAAGTTCTTCTGGAAAGATTTTTAAATGTCCTACCCCCTTCAAACACATAGTTAGCCCAAGTTGTGCTCTGCCCGTGGTTCTCAAAGTGTGGTTCCGGAACCAGCCACCTGAGCCTCCCCCCACCCCACTGAATCAGAAACTCTGGGGGTGGGGCCCAGCAATCTGTGTTTTAATAAGCCTCCGGGTGATGCTCACGCACTCTGAAGCTCCAGGCCCCTGCCTTCCTCTACTTCACGCAGCCTCCCTGGCATTTCTCCTCTCATCACCATCACAGGGAGGTCTGCAGTCTGCCAGTCCCTAACTGCTGCCCTGTTGGAAAGTCAATACACTCTGTACCCAGATCCATATTTGCCAGGGCGTTGCATTGTTCAGACCTAGAGGTTCTCTGATTCCTGCCATAGCCTTTTCCTGGCTAAAGTGGGTGTTTGGTTACACATGCTTAAAATATTTTCCAAGTCGAAGTTATTGTGGCCACGCCCAGTGGCACAGGACTCTAGGTCTCCAGTTGCCTGTTTGTACAAGACTAGATCCCAAATCCTGTTTTCAGGAACTGCCCCCAGATGTTCCCCTTGTCCCCCATGGTTTTAGAATGAGCACCTATATTTTCCTACCCCTCCTGGCCCCAGCCCCTTGCCTTTCAGTTTTCCTGAAGAGCTAGCCTGTTTTTCTGTGGACACTGCCTCCTCGGACTGATTGTCCCACTTACAAAGCTCTAGCGCCAAATCTGGGTCCCATCTGTAGCAAGTGGCCAGGCCCTTATACCTCACTCTGTCCTAGTCTCACTCTTGGTTTTATCTTATTTCCTTCTGTTATTTTTTTTTTTTGTCCTTTTTTAACCCCCAGCTGCAGACTTATTTTTTAGTTCATCTTGTCTTATATTCTATGACTCTTTGACAGCTGCCTTGATTAATTTTGGAAGGAAGCAGCTTAAATAAAATCGAATTCTTCTTGTGATGAGATACAATGGATATAAAACAATCAGCGGGTAGTAAATGATGTTTGTTAAGTGGCCATGCACATCTGGGTCTGTCTGAGTCCAGACCCTGTGCTCCTTCACTTTATCCTGTGGACAGGGATTCAGTTAAACATTTTTTTTAAATCCACGAAACCAACAAAATTGGGAATCCAAGGAGAGAGAGACAGCCAAATGAAGGAAATTTAGACAGAAGGCCCTTTAGTGGGTGTTAAGTCTTCCTTCTCCAACATGGAGTCATAAATGAACAACTCTAAAAGTGGAGTACTGGAAATTGTGGCACAAACAATCTTTTCATGAGGTTGTACACTGTCTAGCCCAGGTGCAGTAGCTCATGCCTGTAACCCCAGGATTTTGGGAGGCTGAGGCAGGAAGATTGCTAGAGGCCAGGAGTTTGAGGCTGCAGTGAGCTGTGATTGCACCACTGAACTCCTGCCTGGGCAACAGAGCAAGACCGTGTCTCTAAAAAAAGATAAAAGTAAAAAAATAAATTTTCTGATTACCAGGTGGGGTGGATATGTTGCAAGTCTGTTATTGTTTGAGCGATACGCTTTTTCTCAGCTTACTTTGTGATTTAAAGCCCAAATGTATTTTTTAAAAAAGGAGTAGATATACAAGTTTTTCACAGCTATACCTACTTCTGAATTAATGTTGCCATGTCCCCTTGGGTAGTGTTCTCAGTGATGTCACATGGGGCGTCTGATTTACTCATCGTGTGACCTTAGCCTTGTGGCAGGTAGAAAGCTCAATGCCCCCATTCCTCCCCCATCTGCGTATGTCCCCCATTTACTGACTATCCGTACCAGTCAGGCACTGTGCCAGGCAGTTAACTTTTAACTCCTTTTCTAACCTTCACAAGTCTATAGAAGGCAGGCTTAAAGTTTTCTGTTGTGTGGTGCTAGATGTTAATCTCATCTTTAACTTGGATAATAATTTGAAATACACTGGAATGTTTATACATTTGAGTATGAAAATAGATGCTGAGCAGAACTTACTAAAGTAGGACTTTCTCCACTGATTAAAAATCAAGTGAGATAATGGATGTAAAAGTACTTTGTACTATTATACTTTTGTACAATGTAAGACACTATTACATAAATGACATTTCAGTGGCTGGACAGCGTTAAAGGGTCTCTAATTAATAGGGAAGAACGTTTCAGCTGTCCTCTAAATCTAGAGTGCCTGGATGTTGTCTTTATTAGGTCGAGAAGGAAGCCACTCAGGAAGTCTGCTGGAATGAGAGTAACGAGTGTCGGAAATGGACCTTTACAACTCTGAAGCAGATAATTGGGGTATAAAGATGGCATGTTAACACCTAGTTATTTTTGCTTGGATTTGAGCAGTATTTTAAGTCTATAGATTTAGTTCTCGGAAATCCTGCATGAGAAGGAAGGAGATGAAATGTTTTTATTGAGTGACAGACATCTAACTCTCTGGGCAGTGCCTCCATAATTTGTATTACTAGACGGGGTAAGTATGTGCTTGCCATGGACCATCTCTCCCAATAGATCTTGTCACCTGTGCCTAGCCCTTGCGTCTTGCTCTTACCTGCCAAATGCCATCTTCTCTCCCAGGCCTCAACACTTTTGCCGGGGGGGAGCTGTCATCGATTGGTCCCCCCTAAACAGCGATTCTTGGTACCTGACAGGTACCCTGATGGGATCCTGGTATCCTGGTGCCTCTGCCTAGCTAAACATGCAGAGTAGGGTCTTCTGCATTGAGATCACTCAGCCCTGTGTCTTGGGCTTGTTCCAGATCTTTGAACACTTATGGGAGAGGCATGCCTAGTTTTAAAGATGTGCTAAAATGGATATCCTCATGTGGAAAAAAGCCTCACCCAACCTTAAGAAAAAAATAAAACCTAAAACCAGGCCAGGCGCGGTGGCTCACGCCTGTAATCCTAGCACTCTGGGAGGACGAGGCGGGCGGATCGTTTGAGCTCAGGAGTTCGAGACCAGCCTGAGCAAGAACGAGACCCCATCTCTACTAAAAATAGAAAGAAATTAGCTGGACAACTAAACATATATAGAAAAAATTAGCCAGGCATGGTGGCACATGCCTGTAGTCCCAGCCACTCAGGAGGCTGAGGCAGGAGGATCGCTTGAGCCCAGGAGTTTGAGGTTGCTGTGAGGTAGGCTAACGCCACGGCACTCTGGCCCAGGCAACAGAGTGAGACTCTGTCTCAAAAAAAATGCTTGGGTAAGATGCCCTCTTAAAGAATTACAGGAGAAGGAAAGCAAAACTTTGTTTGCTGGTGACTTAGCGATGACTTTGCGGGTTCCCCTAAGCTCATTTCATTTTAAAGTAAATTTACCACCACCCCCACTCACAGGCTGGTCTGGGTAAAGAATGTGTTGTCCCAAGTTAGTGCTTACAAACATGCTGAATTGATCCTTCAGCCATAGCTGAAGGCAAAGTTAAGGGTTTTGAAGGCAAAGGCTCTGGCTTGTCCTCCCTCCTGTCTGAAAACCACTCTCAGACTGCACGAGAAGGTGAGCAGTGGAAATCCCAGGCGAAGACAGTGCACCCCATTGCCCTCTTTGCTTTATGTGAACAGATCCGACGGCAACCAGAGCAGGTGAATTTACAGATCCAGAGTTTGGGAGGCTCTATGGATTAGACATTTTTTGATCCCCTACAGTGCAGACAGTGAAGAATGACTATATGGATTTTACTCTGGAATGGAAGGCCGTCTACAAATTTATGTAATTTTGAAAAATTCTGCTTGGCTTTCTGTATCTCACACTGAGTGTAATGACGTGTGTGTCTTTGTTTTCTCCCTCCCACCCGTGGGCGCGCAGCACGTGTGGAGTGAGAGCGAGGACTGCCTGCCTTTCTTGCAGCTAGCACAGGATTACATCTCCTCCTGCGGCAAGAAGACACTCCACGAAGTCCTGGAAAAAGTCTTCAAGTCTTTCAGACCTGTAGGTGCCCGCTTGGCTCCGGGACACAGCTTGTTTTCTGTAGTGATTGTGTTTTGAATACCAAGGGTGGCAGGGAAGGTGGGCAAAACCTGGGATGACTAATTGTATTTCTCTTGTCGGCCCTGTGGCTTAGAGATAGCAGCCAGTGTGGGGAGGCTGAGGACGGGGGGGAGGGGGACGGGTGTGACACAGCTGTTTGTCGCAGGGATGATGGTTATTTCTAGCATCGCTTGAGTTGAGTTGAGAATCCCTGATAGGGAGGAAGCAAACCAATCCTTTGTGAGACAACTGAGCATTCCTGCTCTGGGCCAGCAGACTTCAAACCAACATGCTTGCAAATGGTCTGGAGGTTCTTTTATAACAGTCGGGCCTATATTTGGGAGTTGCCGGAAAGCTATATAAGGTTATACCGCCACATTTGTGGGTGCGGAGAAGGATGAAATTGGATATCGGGTCTGTCTTTTTCTCTTTTCGAAAAGTCTCTAATAGAGAGCTTGCTTTTTTTCCTCCTTTTTGGGATTTAGGAATCTGTATTTCTGGACTAGCTGACAGCCTGTTTTCATTCTAGCTGATAAACCTACACAGTGAATACTCACCCCTGTTTCGAAGATGACCTGTTTCCCTCTCTCTTCATTGGAGGACAAAGTCAGATTACCAGTGTCCCAACATTTCCCCCAAGTGCAATTCTCTGCTCACCCTAAATACTCCACGTGTTCCATGATACTTGCTAGAATGTCTGTTTAAGTAGCTTAATTATTTTTCACATTTTAAGAAATGCTACTGCCTTCTCTGTTGAAGTTCGGAAGCTTATCTTTTATTTCTTTGAGCATAGACTGTGTCTGATATTGCACTTGGTAACTCTGCTTTGCCTTTTGTTTCTGCTGGTTCTCATGCCTGGTATCTTGTTTCTTTGTGTGTTGGATTATCTCTATGTGCAGGCCATTGTATTTGAAATTTTATATATAGGAATAAATTGAGGCCTAAGATGACAGTCACTTCTTCCAGAATTTTTGTTTGCTTCTGCCAGGACGTGGGGGTGCTATCAGTCTGAGACCACCTTGAAACAGTTTAAGGCTCGTGGTTCTCCGAAGGCTCGGCAATGAAAAGGCGGGGTGCGGATCTGGTCTCTTTCAGTTCTTCCTCGTGAGGGTGTGGACTTTGGGGGCCCAGCCTAAAGTGGGGACTGTGTATCATAGTATGCTCCTTTGGAAGACCTTGGGCTTTGACTTTGGTCCCCTGTCTCTTAGAGAGGGCAGAGAGAGCAATAGGTTTCTAGCTGCTACTTCCAGGTCAGTAGATGCCCTCAGGAAAAAGCAGCTTTCGGTGCTAGGCCTACCTCTCCTGCTTCTAATTCTTCAATATATTTAAGAAGGTGTTTTTCATATTTAATCCAGCTTTTTTAGTAGTTCTTAGTGGAAGAGTTGGTCGCAATCATTTAGTCCACCATTATAAGAAGTGAAATTTCAGTGGCCTTTGTCTGATTCGTATCATTTGTCCATCCTGTTCATTTTTTGTTTGTTAATTTTCCAAGCCAGTTTGGGTCATTCAAAATAGATATTTGACTTAAAAATACCAGATTGTCCCACTTTCACGCATTTAATAATATTGAATACTCACTAGGTACGTGGCACTTTTTACTGCCTTGTTCCGGCACCTGAACCAAACACATGAAAAGCTTAGATCGCACAGAGCTTGCATTCTAGTGGGGGGAGACAAGATGAACAAGTATGACATACAGTGTGTCAGTGATACATGCCACAGAGAAAAGAAATAAAGGAGTAAGACGTGTCGGGGCCCTGAAACATTTGATTAGAGGACCAGGGCAGGCTCTGCTGAGAAGGTAACATTGGATTAAAACCTGAAGTACAGAGTGGGCCATGGGGAAACCTAGGGGAAGAGCCTTCTAGGGAGAGTGAAGAGCAGGAATGAAGGCCTCGGGGTGGGGGACACCTGTGTTCGAGGAACAGGGGGACCATGTGGCTGAAGGGGCGGCGGGGAGGGGAGGAGGGAGGTCGGGACTAGTGAGAGATGAGTCTGGGATGACAGGGCTCTGCAGTCACGGAAGGGCTTGGGCTCTTACTCTGCAGCGATGGGGAGGGGTTGGGCACACGGATTTGATTTGATGTTGCTGGCTTCCAGGTTTCATTTCTTTTTCTTTTTCCCTTTCCTTTTTTTTTTTTTTTTTGGAGGGGACAGACTGTTGCTCTGTCGCCCTGGGTAGACTGCAGTGGTGTCATCGTAGCTCACAGCAACCTCAAACTCCTGGGCTCAAGCCATCTTCCTGCCTCAGCCTCCTGAGCGCTGGGACTACCGGTGCACCACCACGCCCAGCTAATTTTTTTTCTATTTTTAGTAGAGACGGGGTCTCGCTCTTGCTCGGGCTGGTCTCAAATGCCTGACCTCAAGCGATCCTCCTGCCTCGGCCTCCCAGAGTGCTAGGATTATAGGCGTGAGCCACCCTTCCAGCCCAGGTTTCATTTCTAAAGTGGAGCTTTATGTTGTGGGCAGCGATGTTGCTCCTGAGTGGAGGAGGCCTTGACCTGGCACTGTGCTGCTTTGGTAGGGAAGTTCTTTGTGCTGGCACCTTCTGGCTGGGCCTGTTGGCCCCTCATGGCAGGGCCGGCAGGAGGCACCGCCTCAGGGCTGGGGAAGGTGAAGTGCATGCTGGCCTTGGGCTGCTCCCAGGCAGGACGTGCCCCAGTTTGGAGGAGAGGGAGTGTCACAAACCTGAATAAAGGACTGTGGAGATCAGTGGGGAAACTTCTGTCCCCTCCTTCTCCACTAAATAGTGCGTTTCTTCCCAGTGGTGCCACTTGCATAAAAGTGCTTGTTTTCTATAAGGGAGCCTTGGGTTTAGAAAGAAGACATAGGAAAGGGTTTTGTTGCTGTTGTCGTAGTTGTGGTATTTGTTGAAGAAACACTTTCCCAAATGCTACGGCTTGTCACGGGGGTAAAACCTGCACGTCATTCCCCTGAAAATGTGTGGTGACCTCATCCATTTGTGCAGCTGCTTTGTGTGTGTAGCAGGGCAGTCTGGGGAGGAATGCTTTTGCCTTGTCTCAGAACAGCCCCATCCTTGGCTTCGAACCCCTGTTTTCCTTTGGCTGCCCCAGCCCCAGCCCCTGTTCATGCAGTCTCTCCGGAGAGATAAGGACCTGTCTGTTGACGGCCTTCTGCTGTCTTTTTGGGCATCAGTCAAGCGAATTCAATTAACTTTGCTGAAGCTTGGGCACTGCGGCATCCTGCAGGCCAAGAGTGGAGTCGCCTCTGCCCTTCCTCAGCCGTCCCGTCTGCAGGGCTGAGGCCGTGCCACCGTACAAACTTTGCAGCCCAGCACTTTCCCCTTCTCTTCCTCGCGTGCCCCCTTCTGAAACAACATCTCAGTCAAAGTTCTCCCTCCCCACCAAGCCCTTTGTTGTTGGGTTTGAAAAGAAAAAAAAAAGTTCTTTTTAGCCATCTTACTCCTCTATTTTTCCTGTACTTCTTCATCACGTTTTCAACAAAACATATCAGTCTTCTGCTGTTTCCAGAACACTGTGGAAGAGGGTGAGGGGCAGGACACAGACAGCTGAGGTCTTGCCCTCAAGGCGCTGACTTTCTGGGAGGAGAGACAGCCAGGTAACCAGAGAGAGAAAGCCCACATTACAAGGAAGAGCATTTATTTGAGTCCAGACCCTCTTCTCCATGCTGTGCATTTCCTGCTGTGCCTATTCCACTCTGCTGGTTCTTTGGGGAACTGTTTCTGAGAGGACATTTGTGAGCGTGTACTACAGGATGTTGTTGCCTGTGTTCTCTTAGCCCAGTTATGTGGGAGCAGGATACTACCGGGATGAAGATCCCAAGCTCTGTGGGCAGGCTGCCTGCAATGAAATCTCAATTCTGCCACTTGCAGGCCATGTGACCTTAGACAAGTGACTTAACCTCTCTGTTTCTCAGTTTCTTCATTTGTAAAATTAGGAAACTAATGATAATAGTTACCGTAGGGTTACCATGCAGATTATACAATGTAATTTTTGGTGGGTACTCAATGTAGCGTGTTACCCATGGTAAGCACTAAATACATGTTAGTATTGATGTGGATAGGAGACAAAATATTGTTGAGAAGTGAGCAGGACTTAGTGAAACCTTTTGTGGGAACCTTAGTTTTTGGTTGACAGAGAAAACAGTTTGCTAAGTGATTTCAGCATGCTTAACATATGCATCTGACTAAGGTAAAGGATTTTAAAAGGTATTGGAGGGGTAAGTCAAAAGTTTATCAACATTGGTTTTGGCAAAATAATAAACATTCGTTAAGTTCCTAATCCACACAACTTGCTGTGTTAGATGCTTGAGAATGAATGGATGGATGCTCCTGTCCTCCCACAGCGACATGAGGCCAAAGAGCCTCAGGGTTATGGATGGTTATTTTCTTCTTTTTCATATTTTCTAAGTTTTCTATAATCACATAATCAGAAAATAGATCATGTTTTTTAAAGAAGCTGTATCATTTACGATGTTTGAGAAGTGCTAAGAATATCATCTTGAGTGGGCTCTTTGAGGAACAGAAAGCCAGGCCCTGGCTTCGTGAGGATTTGGGGCTTGAAGAATGGCAGGACCTCAACACGCTCAGAGCAGGAGGAGGGCTGGCCGGGGAGAAAGTCCAGGAAGGGCTCATCTTGGCTGCCCCACTTCAGATTCTTTAGAAATGTCCCTGGGGGCGGGGAGGGGAAGGTGGATCACCCTGCCCTGCCTTGCTCCTAGGCCATGTGGCCTCTAGCAGATCACTCAGCCTAGGTGTCCCCATCTTTAACATGGGGGCGTTACCTGTTTCATCACTGTCTTCATGGATTCATGGGGAGCTTCAAAATCAGACTGAGAACACAAAGGACTGTCACAGTCCAAAGACACCATGCTGAGGTTAGTCTCAATTTCTGGTGTTAGGAAATATTTATTGGATGAGTAGATGACTCTGGAAGTGGCCGTCTTTCCTCCTTGAGTGACCCACATTCTGCTCCACTCCA